CAGGCATCTATAGAGTGAACCAATAAAAAAATTTTGATTAAAAAGTGGATTTCCCCTTTTCTACTGACTGCCTCTCATATATCTATATTTTTTTTTATAATAATTATAAAATAAATACAAATAATAGTTTAAAGATTTGTAATAAAAATGATTCAAATATATATTATACAGAAATTTTATTTAAATAAAAAAGCTATAAAAAGTTTTATAACATTAAATTAAAAAATAAAATGTTATTATTATATCAAAATTTAAATGATTAGATAATAAAAAAGAAGGTATAATATATCTATATAATTATGTTTTTTATTACAAATGTTTTTTAAAATAAAATATTATCTGTATTGTTTTTAATGTAAAAAACAGAATCATAAATAGAAGGTCTATTTAAAAGATCAGTATCCCAACACTTTTTCATTAAATTAGCATAACTTTCAGGAGTATCCTGTGTAATTTCAGGTCTTTAATCCATCATCATGTTCAAAATTAGCAAAGGTTTACAACCAGTTGTTAGTTCTACATAATCACGGCCAAGCTATAAACATCAAATGCTTTTGAAAATGAAGCACCATTAAATATTTCTGACGTAATATAAAAGTATTACTCCATATACAGTATTTCATTTTTAATGAAGTATTATTTGCAGGTTGCGTTAATACTAGATCTCCAATTTATCATATATGTATGAGATTTTTATCATGAATATTTTGAAAGTCAAACTTAAAAATAAAATTAGTATTATAAATTATTAATAAATATAAAATAGTATATAAATAATGTACCCGAATACAATATCACTAAAATTTTTAATTCATTTTCATTAAATTATCTTGATTCCATGCATAGTACAAAACTTTCCATTATTTTGTAATCATCATCAGACTTTTTGACTTTATTGATCTTGAAACGAATGATGAAAAAATTAGTTCGTTCAAATAATATAGAAAATCATTTAAAAGTGCAAAAAAGTAAAATTCATACACAATATTGGATTTTAAAGATTTAGATTTCGATAAATGTAGGAATTGGGTACGTTATGTTTGTTAAGATGTGTTAACGCGATAGAATATTTTCTAGGAATTAGAAAATGTACATAGAATTCTGTCAGAGTCAGGAATACTTTTAAGTTTCGATATCTTTGTATTCCTCTATTGATGTTAGTTTGCATTTAATTTATCACCACTTAATACATTGTTAGTCGATTATCTGATTTATCATTCATTAAATACTACACTCTATAAAAACGCATTGTAAATTTTAATAGTTTATTATAAACTTAGTTAAATTTTAATGACATTTTTACCAGTGTAAACTTTTACATAACCTTTTGGTGTATCAGGAATTGTTGTATCAACAAATTATTTATATACTTGATAAAAGTTCGGTCTTGTCTTTAATAATGTTGTATTCAGTTCATGAATTTATAAACAATTTTGTAAGAAGAAGGTTTTTATTGAATAATCATGAAGTATTCGTGACAAAATATTATCAAATTAATAAGTGTTGCCTCAACGCTCTACACTTACGCAATGTTAATATGTTAAACTAAGTAAACTCTAATTTATTAATACTGCGCAATTACAAACAATTACCGAAAAATTGAATAATAAAATAATAAGAAAATCGGAAATTAAAAATAAACGAAGTTAAAAATAAGAAATCTAAAATGTTAAAACGGCGAAAGCGAAAATATCTCGAAGGGTTAAAGGAAGGTTTTGAGGGTATGTATGCAAAATATATTAAGGGCGAGTGTGGAATGTTGAACTGTTTAAGGATTTCCGGCTCGTATTTATAAAAAAAAAAATATTAGGATCTTGACATTTTGTCATATTTGGCACCTTGACATGACAGCCTGGCAAATGGTCTTCAAATGACTATCTGCAAATATCGAAAAATGTTTTACATGCGGAATTATGGATTTTTCGAGCGAAATTATATTTAGTGTAACTGATAAAATCCGAATTATAAGGTTTCTTGTTTTAAGTCTTACATAAAAAGTGAGCACAAATCAATCAAATTTCAAGAATATTCCACAAGAATCATTTAAAAGGTTCGAAACTTCAATGGATTTTAAAATCGTTCTATATAGTGGTTTGAGAATAAAACATCAACTTCAGTTTTCTTATAACGCGTAATATAAAAAAAAATATGAGTCTTCACAAAACTGATAGAACAATTTATTTTTTTGCAAATTTATAAATCGCGGTTTAAATCATCACATAATTATTATTAATAAAAACCGGTCACGTTCGGAAAAAATGTAACTCCAGTATCTTGGAATTGTAATAAGTTTTGCAATGTGAACAAAAATTAAAAACATATACATGACGCAGTAAAACATATTTAACAATTGGTAAAGTCGAATAGTACTATATATAGGTAGCCTCACGATTAAAATAATTCTTCAGAAAGACGCTCAGGTTCTTAAAATGAAAAGATAAATATTGTGTGCTTGTAATAACTAAATTTGTGAAAATTCAGATATTACTTTGTAAATAGTACCTCGAAGTTTGAGTACTATGAACTTTTATAACTTCGGGATCATATTTAACCCCATCCAAAATTTTGCAACATTAATATAGTATTCTCTTCGCTTAGTTATTATTTATTCGTACGAAGGGATTTTAATACCAAAAATTATGTATTTGTCTCATTCGTCTAAAATAAAAAATGCGCGAAAACTGTGTTAATATTCATTTAATTAATCTATAGAAATATGGAAATTATATCTAATTTAATTCTCGCCGACTTCTAAACGGATTGATTTAAAAAATGGTTCACTACATGCAAACGTGTGACCACACGCAGAGGATATAAGCAAATGTCTTTAGTTGCAAAGTATTTTGAAACTATTTCTAAAAAGTATAACTTATTTATAGATAGTTCAATGTGTATATACTCGAAATTTTATCAAAGAAATCTTTCACTATAATATTTGACGACGTTCCTCCAGTAATGTGTTTTTGATTGCCTTTTCAGTTCGAAATAGGTTGTCTATTTCTTTACGATCATATAAATAGTGACAAGAAATCTGAATTGGACTATTAAATTTTCGAAAATTTCTCAAATTTTTTATATTCCAAGTTAATTGAGATATCCGACATCAGAAGAAATTTAAGTAAATGCTGTCCAGCAAATGAGGATAAATTCGATGAATAGATGTGTTGAGTTCTAAAGATGGAAGACTAACTATATTTATAACAATACCCAAAGTAGAGAATGAATCACCAGGAAAGTGGTCATTACGTAATCATCTTCAATTATTCAGATCTAAATTTTAACACATATAGATGTTGGTGTCAGGTGATTCTACTTTGTATAGTAGAAGCTATGGCCGTTCCCAAAAAGGAAGGAATAGGTATAAATTTGGTTAGCCTCATGCAGGAACTATGGGAACCGTTTTATAAGTTATTGTGTGATTTTATGATGTTGACTTTAAAATTATGAAGAGTAAGTTCATCATTCTCTTGGTGATAGGATGCGATCCTACTAGATGCCTAACATAAAATTTATACATAGTATTTGAAATCGAGTGGCCGTATAAATACCCACTTTTTATGAACCACAAAAAAGGTACCTTTTTGTGTTATAAAATTAATACTACAATTCAGCAGTGTGTAAAATTTAACAAATTTTTATTTTTAGACGAGTTATACGTTTGAAAAACTTACTGGAAAGAAAACTTAACGAACTTATTAATATGTTTATATAAGACGAATTGCTTTATTTAATGCCTCATCAAGTAACAATAATTATATGCTAAAAAACTTTATCTCAAGATGTAACACCTTTTATTGGTTATGCATCTTCGATTATTTTGATTATTTTTATTATCCTTTATTTGTTTTATGAAAGTATAACAATTAATACTGCAACAATAAAATATATCCCTTTTGTCAACCACTTAGATACTAAATGAGATTTAAATAAACTAATTTTAAATATTGCTATAAATCTTTAATTAAAAAATAGGAAAAAATAAATAAATTTGCAGAGGTGGTAATTTTAGGTGTTCTATTGAATGATATCGCGAAAATAAAAAGAATAAAAAAAATTATTTTTTGAGATATTTATTAATTAGCCCCCTTTTATCTTTAGCTCTTAAAATATTATACTTTAACAGTTAGAAAAATATTCCATAATTACCATCTTTACGCTTATATTATTTATTATATTGAAAATAGAACAAGTTACTTGAATTAATATGTATACTAATAAGTATAATTTATTGTATTATTTATTTGCTTAAAATAAATTATCGTTATTTATTGTATAGCTAATTTTCTTATAAACTCCGTGATATCACTAAAAATATTAAAAAACAAGATCGTCTACATCATACTGGTGAGCACGATAATACATTTTAATATTCTAACAAAAATGATAAACTTGTACAACTATATTGTTAATTTAATTTATTTTTGATATGTAGCATGTGAAAGTATAATATATATTAAGGAACATTAAGAAATTGATTTTTCGCGGATTCCGCATTACAAATTGATTGTAATGTAATACGCGATTTTTATCATCCGCGTGTCATGATTTATGATCTAAAAAATTATTTATTGATCCATTGACAAAATTAGTAGTGCATAAAAAATAGCGATTTTTTTTTTTTTAGTAGTAGTAGTCAATTCACATAAGCATAATACCTAATCAAAACGCGTGAATTCGCATCGTGGACAACGATTAATGCGGTACATGATAACGGACCCTCATTTCCCTAGTATTGTTTATAAAGGGTACGTTCATAAGGAAAGGTGAAAATAACGTCATGACGGTATTTTTTACCTAATAAATGCTCATAAAGTATCGATCGGTTTTTCGGTTTCCCAATACAATTAATTAATCCATATATGACTTATATTAACTCGTTTAATATATTAGTGAATCATCAAAAAAAATAGATGGAATAGCAATGATTTTTTTTTTTTTTTTTACTGATTTTCTGTTTTAATTTTACATTTAAAATTTCAAAAAAAAAAAAAAAAAAGTGATTATTCCACGGATGTTCCATTTAAAGAATTTTTAGTTAGGAATTGCAATACAGTTTCGCTGTAGATCATTTGTCCGGAAGTATTTTACGAGAATGAATCCTAACGCTGATTTCAACAAAATATTTACTAACGTCAATATTCTTTTTTTTCTTTTTTTTTTGTTTATATTTTTTATTAAATTTTTAGAAAATTGAAATAATATTCAAAGTGTAAGAACAGCAAATTCAATTGCCATCAATTAGGTTTACGTAAAGTTGATAAATAACAAAAGTCAATGTTATTATAAAATAATATTATATAACTCTATAGACTTTTGTACACTCTAAGGTAAGGAGTTAGATTACGTAATTTATAATTTAGAGATCAAGATTTAGATTATTTCAAAAAAAAAAAAAAAAAAAAAGGATTGAAAAAGAAAGAAAAAATTAAATTAATTACACTAAAAGATGTTAATGTATATATAAAAGCATCCTTACATTGAATCAACAATAATAAAAGATGTAATAAACAATAATATAATATAAAATGAATGAATGAATGATTTAAAGCAACGAATTTCAATTAAATGAACAAATTAGGAGGAAAAAAATGTCTTTTTGGTAGGATACGATTTAAAAATGTACCCAATTTGTTTCATTGATTTTTTTTGTTTAAATCTCAGTCATAAATCCATTATCGGAGTTAGAACCTTTTCGGAGATTGATTACATACGATTTCCTTGTTGCACATGCAGGATTATGCAAATATGATTGCTGATATTGCTGATTACTATAAACCCAGTTGGGAGACATTGAAAATGGCTCGTTACAATATCCAACAGGAATTTTATATGCTGCATGATTTAAAAGTCTCTCTTCCATTAATGTCGGTGAATACATCATTTCATTTGAAGGTACTGTAATATCTGAAGTCACGACCTCTGGGAGTCTAGGTTGGTACATGAAAGTAGGAGAGAACATTGTAGGGGTTAATGGTGATAAGGGAGAAATGAGAGGAGATATGTCATTTTGTTGTTGTTGAAACGTTTGTTGTTGATATTGCAAATCATTTAAGCGAAGCATTTCAGTGGGAAACTGCTGAGTTAATAAATTAGCCCCCTTTTGCTGTGTCGTGTAGATTGTTTGTTCATCAACGGATGGGGCGGGACGTGATGAAGAATCTGAGGAAATCCTTCTCCTGTTTCTTGAATTCGACCTTGACAACTGTTTATGTAACCATTTAACTTCATGAGCGATATCTGCGTACTTCCTAATCACGTAATTAGGTTCTTGTTTCCAAGCTTGAGCGGCCAAGCATGAAACTTCGCTCATGGAAAGATTATGTCCCTGCGTACGGACTTCCTTGGCAAATTCATTACGATAAATTAGAAATTTGTTCGTACATCTGGCCAGTAATGAACCGCTTTTATTCGTTCGTATTAAATCAGCCGCATTAATTGCAGGCGGAAAGGGCACATGAACGGGTGCATGAAGTTGTGGTTCGGGCCTTCGAATCGCTCTTACTGGTGTCGGTTCGGTTCCGTTTTCAAGAATGAATACGAGTTCCTGCTCTGGTTTATTATTATTATTGTTGTTGTTGTTGTTGTTGGTTGTGATGGTCGAGGAGGAAATTGTTTCTTGCGGTTGTGGTGGCGATATTGTATTCGTTGATGATATTGATTGTGACATTTTAAAATGTGGTTAAATTTTTTTATTTCGTAATTTTTTATTTTTTATTTTTTTTTAAAAAAAACTTTCTTTCTTGCTTTCTTTTTGAAATGAAAAGACGTTAAAGGTAAAAAAAATTAACGCGGGTAAGAATAAGGGGAAAAAAAAATAAAAAAAAAGCTGTTGACGCAGAGAATAAAGTCTAAATGGTTACAAAAATCATAACAATTGTCAAGGTCTAAATCTTATGAAAGTCCAAACTTTCAAAAAACTCCATATCCCGTCCTTTTATACTTTTACCATACATAACGGGTTATATACTCAATAAGGGTAGACAGATGTTCTTACTCCCTATCTGAAGATTATAACAGAATTTCTGAGATTCAAAAATTGTAAAGTTTTTTTTTTTTTTGTAATCTTCAACAATTTTGATTAAATTGTGGCATTCATCCGTTAATCCAAGGATCAAAGTTTTTCACAAAATGATCTTTACAAGTCAAAATTTTTTACGATCAAGAATTTTCATTATGTTGGTGGAGTTATTCTCGTTGTTGCACAATACTGCATTCGTCATTCAGCATACCAGGTCACATCTAAAATTAAACTTTAAAGACAAAAAAATTTTTTTTTTTTTCATTATTATTAAAATTTTTAATTTTCACACGTCCTACTCTGCAAGATCGATCAGGGAAATCTCTATCAAATTTTTATATAAAATATCAAATTAATAATTATTGCGAAAAGATATCTCAATAAATGGCGGGAGAGAATCCCGGACGTGGCAATCCTTATAAATTATAATGAGTACTTTAAATTTCAAGGAAAAAAAAAAAAGAGGTGATTTTTTGTCAATCGATCGGGGTAAAATAATATGCGTAACACAACATGTGCGAGTCGAATACCATAATAAGAAATCACCGATTATAAACTGGAAGAACATCAAAGTATCATACATAGATTGTCCTTGATTCCGAAATGATCGTTTCGATAATTTGAATCGCTATTGTCGTTATTGTCATCAAGTAGTCGGACCACCCAAATTTTAAAATTTTCATATGAAGTTCCTTGGCAAACTTTGTTTTCCCAAAGATACAGAAAAGTGATAAGTAGTTTCATTCAGGGGGGAAAGAAAACTGACTTCTGAATTTCGAAAAAAAAAAGATTTACGCAGAAAGATTTATTCATTGATTCTATTGGTCAAAAATAATTTGCAAAAACCCCGGTCAATCTTTTGTCGTGTGACGGTTCAATTATTTTCCTTAAATAGAACATTATTTCTGGGGAGATATGTATACCGCTTGCTGATCGAACAATGTTCATTATTTCACAAAAACCAACGATTTCTGTTTATTGAAGCATGTAATTAATTAATTCATAGTTTATTATGAAGCATTTCTGGCTAAAAAGTATTAAAAAATATATTTTCTTTGGGCATACCGAACATATTTCAAAAACTTGTGGCGATTTTTACTCGTGTATTACATACAATTCATAATGATTGACAAATTTGGATTTCATACTAATGAGAAAAACGTGGAATTAGGAAGTAATATGACTTTTTCAGTTTTCAATTTTCCAATGCGAAAAGTAAATAATCTCCGATACATTACTAATTAAAAATGAAGTTGTTGTACAAGTTAATTTTAAAAGTAAATAATCTCTCCGAGTTACTTGCTAAACCTTTCTTGGGAAGCATGGACTTTTAGTAAATTTATTATGATAATCTTTGGTGTTCTTTTCTTTTTTTCGCATGAAACATTTCTAATTAAAAAATGAAATTGTTGTCAAGTTAATTTTAGTAGTTGATGTATCTAAAAAAAACTTATTTTGTAATTATAATTATTACTCTTTCCTTTAATTCGATCAATCTTCATTAGAAAAAATATAAAATGGGAAATTTCCCGAAACTTTTTATTTATACGAAACTAAAATCCTTGTGATTAGTAGTTTATTACGTGATCAGATTATATTTATAGCAATCTTTCCGTTTTCGGTTCATAATACGGATGGGGTATTCGAAAAAATGTGATTTAAAGATGATCACTCTCGGACTGCATCATGTGTATCAGGGTAGTCACGTAAATAAGTTTTTCTTTTTTTGCATCGAAAGGAACTATGAAATAATTTCAAATTCCTTGATTTTGTCTGATCTTAAACGAATATCGATAATTAATCAATTTATTGAATGTAAAATAACTGTGAAAAGGTCAATCACTTTTAGACTGTTTCACTAACACGATTATCGCAAATATTTCTTGTCGGAATTGTAATAACGTAATAATAAACCGAAAAGTTTAGGTTTTTTTTTTGATAAAACAGTACTTTTCTGCCTTGGCTAAATTGTTGAACCGTTCTTCCCAATTTTTGTCTTTGAAAAGTCTTTTGGCGTGAATTAATTATGTAGAATTTCACGCATCGCAATTTAGAAATCGAGAGATAGGAGGTGCCCAGCGCATAAAAGTAATAATGTAAATATATATATATATATATAATATTTCTTCGGTATGAAATGTGAACGACTTCAGCAAGATGTTAATTTACAAAATTCAAACTTACTAGCATTTCTAAAGAAAACAAATTTATCTTTAAGAAATATTTTGTGATGATGATGTTATGCCATTGCAGATATATTAACCAAATTTTTATTTTATTTCAAAGTATTTTTTTTACATGAAATGCTTTTGATGTTGATTCATTAATCTAATTAATATTATGAAACCACCATGTCAAATTTTTCAAAAAGAAATCTTTGGTCATTTATAATTAAATTGATTAATTTTTTATTTTGAGATGAATTCAACAATTTTATTTAAGTAAAGCTTTTTATTTTCAATATATAATATGTGTTAAAATAACTTAATACTATTTAATCGCTAACAAGGAGCGTTTGATTAGATTTCCGTGATGCGATCATTATTTCATCAAAGATTCAAAAATAAAACACAACTTAACCAAGTTTACCATTATTTACATCATTAATATTAATCATACGAACGAATACATTCCGCAAATAATAAAGTATGTTGATTTTATTGCTTCTAGAAGAACATCATCATGATACTAATCGCTTTTATAGATGCACCAAAGTCAAAGCGGACGTATTAACATTCGATATTCGCTTTGAAAATCGTAAATCTTTAACAAGTTATTCAATGGACAATTCTCATGATTTTAATTACATCACTAAATTTGGCTGCGAAGTTTGGCATAATATATAGGCATGAATTTGCTAGAATAAATCTTTTATTTTATTATAGTTCATTATAGTTCGCACAAGTAACAACATTTTTTTAGATACAGCTATAAAAACCCTATTTCTAATTTCCTTGTCCATAATTTAGGCCAATATATTCATTTCCGCATGTAAATAATTTCGACGTTTAATGTCACCATCCAGCTGAAGCTGTTTTGTAGTTTTATCAGCATATATTTTTTGCATTCTTTCCATTTTGAGTTCATTTTTCAAACATTTATCCGTGAAATGTTTATGCTCGTTATCATCAACAAACCTTTTGATAATATTTTTCCACGAAAATGTGGGCTGGTCAGCTATGTTAATAGGGCACTTGAAATTAGAGAATAGGGGTTAGTGCTTATCTAAAATACATGCAGGCTAAGTAAAAAAGAATGTGATAAAAGATATTAAAGGGATGAATAACTAATATATTTACTAACGCCCGTGATAAAAAAGGAACCTAAACTTTTCTTAGTAATCAATTTTTTTTCCTTCACTCTAATAAATTTATACAACTTAATATTTGCCCTAAGCTCAATTAATCACAATATTTACGCTTTCTATAATAACAAAAACCAATATTTAGTGAATGCCGTTTTCAAAGATGTTTTAACTAGGCTTTATTTAACCATTAATGGTTAAACCTTTTTAACGATTAATGTAAAAGATAAATATATCAATTATTTATCAATTTGAATAAAATAAAACAAATCTAATATCGATATGTTTGAATATTATGTAAATAAATTCATTGATATAAAACGATTTTCAGGTTGAGGAGTATGTCACGTGAGTTAATGTTATTTCACCCGAAACCATACTCAATATCATAATACGTGATATACTCTAATCTTCACCTCAACCTGACTTGACTTATGTCTCTTTCCTTATTAGAAGAACTTTAAATAGAACTTGCATGTGATTGAATTAAGTTTCAAAGTATTTTAATTATATATCATTAATCAAATTTATCACATTAAACTTTTTAGATAGGGTTGAGATTAGTATAGCAATTAGTATAATTAATACAATTAGTACAGTTAATATATTATAATAATTAATATAAATTAGTACAAGTACAGTTCAAATACAATGTTAATTTTATCTAATATCTATAAATTTTCCAACCTTGTCTTTAAGCAATTGGAGAGTATATATATAAACTGTACTGTATAAAAATAATGATAACCAATCATATTTTATTATACGATAAATATAAAAAATTAAAAAATTGTATAATAAGTTATGATTGGCTGAAACATTTTTGTATAATACAGTTTAGCTGACCGTATAGTATAGTTTATCTACAGGCCCACAATTGTATAATATTAAATTAACTTATTTTAAAAAGCTTTGATAATAGCATTAATTAAGTCAATATTATTATGATAAACTTTTATAATAAGTTTTTTTGATAGTATTAAATCTTATGATTACATTATGACTATTAATAAAATTTTTTGCCTAGGTTATAATATTTCATTAAGTTTTATAATAAAAGTATTAATTTTTGAATTATATATAGAGAAATTATTAGTTATTTTGAATCATATATATTAATTATTATATTTATTGCATATAATATCCTTTAAAAATAATACCTCCTATAATATCTGAATACTATTCAGTATATATATTAACTTAATCACAAATAATACCTAGATACCTTTCAAAGTGGAAAATTGATTAATATTTGGATATAACATTATTTTATATAGTATCTTCAATATTAACTTTTCTTATTACTTGAATGATTTTCATAATTTTTATATAAAGAAAAAAAAGTATTAAATTTTTCTTAATATTTGTGATACTGAATTGAAAAAAGTTATGTATATAATGAGAAGAAGAAAGTAAATTTAATTTCTTTAATATTTATTTATTAAAGTTGTGTAATTATAACCTCTATATATAATATTAATATCACTTCTATATATTATATTCTCTTTAAAATAGTACCTAATTTTTTATTTAGTACTTATCGTTATAGATCTATTTAATTTTAAAAATCACATTTTTTGATTAAAATTTCAGGTATTGTATGTAATAGTATACAATATATTAGTAA